AAAAAAAATATATATATATATATAATGATTTATGTATATAGATCATTAATAATTAGAATATATTAAAACAAAATTAGAAAAGTAAAACAATTTAAAAAATGAAATGAAATTATCAATATATTCATATAAATGCATGTGTATGTATGTAATTATCCAACAAATGTTTGTCTGGAAGTTGACACAAATATTAGATGCCTAACAAATGTTGTCCAATATAACGTGAATGTGTTCATTCAGGAATTGAGCACCTCTCAGAAGAGTGGAGGAAACGTGCTGCAGATGATGTACGAGAAGCCCGAGCGCTGGGCCTACACCTTCCAGAGCTACGCCTGCATGAGCCGCATCCGCTCGCAGATCAGATCCACCAATGGAAAGCTGCGAGAGGCCGAGAATCCGGTGCAGTTCTTCGAACGATCTGTGTACAGCGACAGGTAGACTGCACCTGGTATTCATATCCGTTATCAAACAGCTCGTTTCGTTGATGAAGGGTCTGTGATTGTTATGCAACTGTCATTATGTCACAAAGTCAAATAAATAGAAATATCAACTAATCGGCTTATTTTAATCACTCTGATTGTTGTGTTGCAGGTACATCTTTGCCTCTAACCTCTATGAAAGTGAGTGTGTGAATGAAACCGAGTGGGCGATCTATCAGGACTGGCACAGCTGGCTGCATAAGCAGTTTGGGAAGCACATTGAGCTGGATGGCATCATTTACTTGCGGGCAAAACCAGAAGTACGAGCGCACACCCAGATGGGGCCTTTAAAGTGATTCTGCTGTACTGTGAAAAAGAGTAAATGAGGCGATTTTGTGTTTCAGAGGTGTTTGGAGCGATTGCATTTGAGAGGAAGGGACGAGGAACAGGGAATTCCACTGGAATATCTGGAGAAACTCCACTATAAACATGAGTGCTGGTTACAGCACAGGACTATGAGGTAACACACTGTGTGAATGAAACCGAGTGGGCGATCTATCAGGACTGGCACAGGTGGCTGCATAAGCAGTTTGGGAAGCACATTGAGCTGGATGGCATCATTTACTTGCGGGCAAAACCAGAAGTACGAGCGCACACCCAGATGGGGCCTTTAAAGTGATTCTGCTGTACTGTGAAAAAGAGTAAATGAGGCGATTTTGTGTTTCAGAGGTGTTTGGAGCGATTGCATTTGAGAGGAAGGGACGAGGAACAGGGAATTCCACTGGAATATCTGGAGAAACTCCACTATAAACATGAGTGCTGGTTACAGCACAGGACTATGAGGTAACACACACACACACACACACACACACACACTACTAACACCAGCCATTATAGTGTCTTCACTCATTTATGGTACTAAAGTATCACTATGTTTGACATCCTTGAAAAAAAAGCCATTGATGTAAATTAATATACATTTTGATAAATTATTACAAATGTATTAATTGTATTTATTAATAAATATAATGGCTTCATATGTATTTACTTTTTAAGGATGTAAAATGTAGCGAGATGATACAAAAATAATTGTTATATTGTTATATATTGTTTAATCTTTTTATTTATTAATTTTAGTGCTGTCAAACGATTAATCGCGATTAATCACATCCAAAATAAAAGTTTTTATTTACATAATATATCTGTGTGTACTGTGTATATTTATTATGTATATATTAATACACATAATATAATACATATAATATAATAATGCATTAAAATATTTACATGTATATATTTGTATTCATATGATTTATAGTAAATATAAATATATTTAATATATAAACGTAACATATTTTTCTTAAATATATACATGCATGGGTGATGAAGTGCCGGTTCTTACCCTGGATGTCAATGACGATTTTAAAGACAACAAGATCAAGTGTGCTGATATGATTGAGAAGGTATGACACACACAGTAAAATAAAAAAAGTGAATATTCTGTCTTTTTTTATTTACTCACCCTCATTATGTTTGATGATTCTTAGAATGACATGGGGGTGAGTAAATGATGAATTTACATTTTTGCTTTTTGCAAGTTAATCTAGCATATCACCCAGAGCATGTGATGAGTGAAAGTCTGAGTGATATTTGTCAAATGTGGCGGAACTGAAGTTGCATCTTATGATGAGGTTGCAATACAGGGACCATTATATACTGTGGAAAAAGCATGTTATACATGATTTATACTCTAGACACACACACTTTGTAGCATTCATACACATTATTCCCAATGTGGAACACAGACACACTTCCTTTGCATGCCCATGAACGCATCACACCGTGCAGTAATAAATGTATTAAAGTGAAACCATTTTGATTTAAAAGGTGATTGAATTTTTTTTCCCTAGGTGAAGGAATTTCTGAGCAGCCTGTGATTACGATGAGAAAAGGTTCATGTTGGCCAAATAATGTAACATTGTGTTTTTTTTTTGTTTTTTTTTACATTTTGAATCTGAAATTGTGTGAAACAGTGGTGTCCATTTAGCACTTATCAGTGTTTTTGTTATTTAAATTAGTTTACTTTTCTACTTCATGAATTAAATAATAAAACAATTAATAATCACCTTTATTTCTTTTAAAGAGCAAATCTAAGTCTCTTCTGCTCACCAAGGCTCCATTTATTTGATCAAAAATACAGTAAAATCAGTAATATTGTGAAATATTATTACAATTTGAAATGACTGTTTTCGATTTGAATATAATTTAAAATGTAATTTATTCCTGTGATGAAAAGCTGCATTTTCAGCATCATTACTCCAGTCTTCAGTGTCACGTGATCCTTCAGAAATCATTCTAATATGCTGATTTGCTGCTCAAGAAACATTTCCTGTTTAATTATTCCGTGTTGAAAACTGCTGTGCTGATTAATATTTGTGTGGAGACTGACATTTTTTTTCAAGATTTGTTTAATGAATAGAAAGTTCAAAAGAACAGCATTTCTTTGAAACCGAAATCTTTTGTAACATTACAAATGCCTTTACTGTCACTTTTGATCAATTTAATGCATCCTTGCTGAATAAATGTATTAATTTATTTTGAAAAATCTTACTGACCCCAAACTTTTGAACGGTAATGTGTATGTATATATTCAACCATTCTGCATTTAATCAAAGCATTCTTTGTGTGGCTTTAAAGGAATAGTTTACCCAAAACCAGCTGAATCGTCATTCAGTCTCCCTCATGTGTTTTCAAGCCCGTATGTATGCAGGAGCTGCATGAGGGAGAGTGAATACTGAGGGTTTTTTTGGGGAAAGTTGTTCCTGTAAATGAGTGTGTGATACTGTGATGTGCGCAAGTGTGTGCTGATAGGCTAGTCCTGAACGGCCAGTTGGTGGCGTACTTCTACAGCTCTTTAAAAACAAGAAATGTGCTATTCCTTGAATTTTAAGTCATCATTTCCTGTCATAAATTAGAAAGAACTGTGGGATTCACAATCATTACTCAGGATTTTAAGTACAGTAAGTACAACAAGGTTTTCATGAAAAGTGTGAAACTTGAACTGGATGACTTTCCTGGAGTTTTTCTAAATGATTTGGAACATTCTACTAAATGTTGAACAAGTCTACAGTACCAAATATTTGTATGTCTGCAAGAATCAGGTGCTCAAGAATCATCTTTATCTTTGGGGGTTTCATGGTTTTGTAAATATAAACAAATCATTCAAGGAAAAGTTCTTATAGATACAGATAGATACATACTAATTTATGTTATATCATAATAATCATATATAGTCTTATAATATGTGTATTGATTTAATTTATATACTTAAGTCATATTACTGAGCATTAAAGATTATCTGAATATTTCCAACATTAAAACCCAGTTTGTTTGTTAAGTTATATTGTTATATTATGTATTATTTTGACTATATATTAATGGTAACACGTTACAATAAGGTTCATTAATTAACATTAGTTAACATTAACTAAAATTGAACAATACTTCTACAGCATTTATTAATCTTAATGTTTATTTCAGCAAGTTGTACTTGTTAACATTAGTTAATGCACTGTGAACTAACATGAACTAACTATATATATATATATATATATATATATATATGCTTGACCATCGAATTTAATGTATATCTGTATATACATTGTATATAGCCTATATATATATAGATGCATACACACACACATATATTGCTTGCTAAATCCAAGTTACGCAGCATAAAATACCTTTTCAGACAATTTTATGCTTCACCTCATCTGTATACTATACATTAAATATTCATTTTATTTATATCTAAACGTAGCCTATATATTGCTTGCTAACGTCATGTTACACAGCATAAAAGCAACTTTTATGCTTCACTTACACGTATTTAATTCAATGCATATGCTTTACATATTGCAGAAAGGTTTCCTAACTGCGAACTTGAGTATTTTTCAGGTGTGTTCAGTGTTTCGGTGCGGATGCAGGTATTCACTGCTGTTGCATCTCACATGCTGACCTCTCGTGTCTCATCCTCCCACTGCTGCGTCACGCTGGAGGAGGGCGAGATCTTTAAATATGAAACAAGACTCGAGACGAGCGCGACGCGGGCAGGTTTACGCGCAACGTGGAGCGTTTTCCGACGGGACGGAGCGAGTTCGTGAGCCTGTTGCGTTATGACTGCTGGAGTGACTGAATGCATTGTAGTTAGTAGAAGCAGCAGCGAATTATCTCTGGCTCCAGACAAACAGAATTGAGTCTCTGTATGTGCTCCTGCCTTTACGCGTCCAGACACGCTGAACTTGGAGCGGATTCGCACTTGCGCGTATTTTGAAAGTCTTTCTGAAGCCTGGACGCACTTGAATTCAGCGTAAGGAGAAGTAAGAGCGTCTCTGGTAGAAGAGGACGCGCGCGGCACGGTCAACATGAGCGACAAAAACAAGTGAGTACTTTTATTTGCATGCAATCTTCCCAGTCGAGATCGGTTGTGTTTCCATGAGTGGATTGAGAACAGCCCTCCCACCCTGCATCTGTCCTGCTTCTTCACCAAAAAGTAAAGGTGTAACAGTATCCTTCAGGACAGATCAACAGATCTGCTCCGAGTCTGTGTGGTTAGGGCTTCAAGTTTCAGGGACGGAGGTTATTATCTATTACAGACATTAAACTGGACATCTGCATACGTTTGATAGCTCATGGACATCCTAAATGTTCAACATTTATCACGGTTTCTTGAACAGAACCACAGATGAAAACTCTTAAAAAAAACCAGGTTCTTTATTGGTATCAATGGTTGATACCAATACATTTTCTTTTTCTTTTTCAATTCCTTGGAAACTAATCTATGAACTTGGCACTTCAGAAACCAATATGTTGAACCAAAAGCTGTGTTTGATCAACATGAACCAAAATAGTTTAATTTAATCAGAGAACCTGCTTAGTTTTCATTATCACCTTTTATTCTCTGCTTATTAACAAACAATCTGTGAACCTGGTGCTTCAGAACCCAGAAACCAATATGCTGGACTTTAGAGAGCCAAAAACTGTTCTTGATCAGCAACAAGAACCAAAAGTGTTTAGTTCCGTCAGAGAACCTGTTCAGGTTCCACAATCACGTTTTATTCTCTACTTCTTTAGAAAAACAAAAAAAAAAAAAAAAAATAATTAGAGTCCAGAAATCATGCTGATCTGGAAAACCAACAATTGCTTTCCAGAGAACCAACTGAAGAGCTCTAGATAAACGAGAACCATTTTGCCTAGAACCTGCAATGAAATATCAAGAGCTTTTTGACTCTCAGTGAACATTTTATTCTACATTTCTTTAAAACATCTGAGAACTTGGTGCTTCAGAATCCAGAAACCAATACCTTAAAGAGCCAAAAACTGTTCTTGATCAGCAACAGTAACCAAAACTGTTTAATTCCATCAGAGAACCTGGTTGGGTCAATATTATTGACTCAAAAAATAAGATTTTTTTTTGGAGATAAATATGTATTTTTCTCATTTCTAAAGCCCAAAGGCTCCCCAA